TAAAAATATACTATTATAATTAAATATAAAAATCCTTAATTTTTAAAAATTTTGTATAAGTATTTTTAATAATTCTACAAACAACCAAACAAATTTTAACTATTTTCAAAAATCATGTTTCTTAAAATTTATAATTCCTAAAAATTACGATTTGTATAAAAATATTTCTCCCCTATCAAACATTTAGTAAAGTATATATTCATCTTTTAAATATTTCACCCTCAATAAAGTCCTTTGTATTGAAGTATTGAGAAATGTTGAGTATTAATTTGATGAAAAAAATGTGAGAAAGAAGGAAGTGTGAAGTTACCTGAAATTTAGGACTACAATCCCAGAGATGCCAGTAGCCTGATGAAGTGCCTCCCTCCAACGCATCACCTTCTCTTTTCCCCATACAGTCGAATTGAACAGGTTCTCACCTTCATTTTCTCCCAACCGCATAAGCTTTTTCTTCAATTGCAAAACCCTCTCCTCATCTTCTTTTAAACTCCTCTTCTCAAGTTCTTCAAATGCTTTTCCAAAATCGCCTTTTTGATGGCGCACTTCAGAGGGATCAACACCATAGAACACTGGGAGAACTATGTTCCCTATGGTCCAGTGACACTCCATTATTTTCTCCAGCTCATCCATACACCATCCAGACCCTGCATAGTTTCTTGAGAACACAACAACACAAATTTCAGACTGCTCAATTGCTCGCAGCAATGAGTCTGAAATGTGATGTCCCCTTGTAAGTGACTCATCATCCTTGAAAACATTGATTCCAGCATTCTGAAGAGAGGCATAGAGATGTGAAACGAAAGAACCACGTGTGTCCTTCCCTCTGAAGCTCAAGAACACTTCATGGATTCTCCTTTCCTTGATGCTCTCTTCATTGGTTAACATCGGAAATATGTCTTCCACATCTGATGTTTCATCATCCTGTTGCAAAGGGTTAGGAGAAGATTATCTAGTTGGCAAGGTGTTAGGTAAAAGGGAAAGACGTAGCTGTACCAGAAGCGCTTCATCTAGCTCTAGCAGTTCCGATAGCCGTATATCCTCATCAACTCTGTTGCCATAACTGAACTCATGTAATGGGCTGTTTCTTGAGTCATCCATTTTTGCTATAGAGACAACACAAGACAAACACTCAAATTCTCACTTTGTTAGTTGAGAACGTTAAACAGAAACATCAATCGCACAAATCCACCTCAAATAAAACCCCAGAGAAAGCAGAGAACTTACCCTTTTCGGAACTTCACACAGCAAAACAGGAACCTCTCCCCAGATCGAATGAAAACGGACCACCAAAAGGGATTGAAAAAAGAGAGGTATAGAGATCTGAAGTGAAACTCAATAACACCTCAATGATTCTGCAAGTTAGACATCGAATATGGAAGTGATATATGAAAGTAATTTGTTGCCTCCGAAAGCTGAAGAAGAAACGGAACACGAAAAATATAGCGTCAAACCAAATCTCTGCTCTTCGGTTTAAAGGCAAAACCATTCTAAGCTTTGATCTAAAATTTCGACCAGATAAGCTCAAGGTCAAACTAAGTGATAGGAGCATTGCCCATCAATTTTCCTTTCCTCAAGAATATAATATTTTCACGAGTTTTATCTTTTCACATTCACGGTACATTTTTTAATATTTTTTTTATAAAAATATAAATTTAACTGACGTAATAATTCAACTTAATATTCTTATTAATTGAATTAATTATATAAAATTTATACAATTTTAAAATTATTTAAGTCATCACGTCATTTATATTAACGTATAATATATATAAATATTTATTTTAAATAACATTCTAGAAAATTTTAAAGTATGTAAAATTCTATATACATAATTATAAGCGTAATACATTGGGTATGGAAATAAATAATTTTAAAAAAAGAACTTATTTTGTGCGAGTTCATGGTCTCTGATATTTATGGTCTCTAATAAATATCAGTCATTATTTTTGATAATAAATATATTTCATACCAATAATATGATTAAAAAAAGTAATATTACATAATTTAGCTATTAGATCACATAAATTTGTAGTTTACACAAATTGTTAAAGTATAAGTTTTAGGTTAAATTATACTTTTGGTTTCTTTATTTTTATTAATTCGTAATTTTGATCCTATTATTTTAAAATAGAAATATTTAATCTTTTTATTTTTAAAATAATGAATTTTAGTTATCTTGTCAAACTGACATTTATTAGTTATTAAATTTTAATATTTATTTTGTATTTGTGACACTCTCCATCCCGCATCATATATTTTTAACATAAATAAAACATAATTCTCTTTTAAATAAAAGAATTCAAAGATATTGCAATCTAAATAAGATGTTCTCTCCCAAATCTTGAGTAGAGAGTTCACATTACAGAAATCCTTTCATAGAACATAAAATCGCTTAAACATAGATGCTTAGTTAGAATTAAATAACATAGTGAATTCCATCAAAATGCAATAAACGAAATTTCCCTAATGCTAAACTCCGGTGTCACATGGCCTAATCAGAGCTTCTTGACTAGACTCCTCCATCAAAACCTTCAGCATCCTACTAAGGCTCACCTGCACATCACAATAAAACAAGAAACACAAACAGCAAAGGGACTCAGAAACATCTCACTCAAGCTCGGGTGAAAAAATACATGTCAAATAGCACACACCCAACAATCATAACACAAGGTAAGAGTATAATCCATACATAGCCAATTATCACACACACAATCACTCATCATGCAAATGATGTCATGAACTCGACTCGTAAATGCATGTATGTGGCGCCATTTGAAATTTGTACAGATATCATCACTGGTATGCTAATACAGTAGTACTTGGGGCATGTTTAATCATATCATTGGTGGCCCACAGCTCACCTAGGAATTCACATGGATACAATGGTATGTGGCCTTAGCGACACACCTAGAATAATTTAATAGACTAACATGTTGTCTCAGTACACACCTAGAGCCAGATCTGCACATGATGCATGTCACACATTCACTATTTTATTGACTCAACATTGCACTTATCACATCTCATCATATCTCATGTCACATTGTCTCATAATATCATGTCACAGGTCACACGTTCACTTTTCACATTTTCACATCATATTTACATAGTCCCATATAAGAAACTTCTCATAAACCCAACTTCATGATTTCACACATATTTTTTACAACCAACCAGTTAATATAATATTTCAAAGGGTCAAAACACTCCAAATGTTACACCCAAAACACGAATTCATCATCAATTTTACATATAATGCCACAAAATTCATCAAAGAAGTCCCATATAAGAAACTTCTCATAAACCCAACTTCATGATTTCACACATATTTTTTACAACCAACCAGTTAATATAATATTTCAAAGGGTCAAAACACTCCAAATGTTACACCCAAAACACGAATTCATCATCAATTTTACATATAATGCCACAAAATTCATCAAAGAACATATCCCTAATTTCACTTCATAGGGTTTCCCACAGAAACCCACAAAGCACTCTAATTCAAATCAAAACTTGTCTATTTTCAAAATTAATCGCATATTCACATCCAACAACCATAAAGGAACACAATAGAAAACTCAAACACAAAAACAAAAAAAATTAAAAAGTGTCTATTTCTAAGAGCATGCATCAAGCAAGGGATTGGGGGTCAATCCCGCTACCAAACATGTCCATTATTGAAATTGAAAACAAATCCACACTCAAAATCACACAAGGAACGCAACAGAATAATCAGAAAGCAAAATAAAAAACTTTCATAAAGTGTTTGTTCTGATAGACATATGATTGGGGGCCAATTCTGCTACCCAACACATATTCCTACATCCCGAGTGAGATTTTTCACTCTCCCTTACTTGGATGAGCAAAAGATGAAGCACGTGTCATATCTGGTTGACCTCCTTCTCCTAACTCTCCTTGGTCTTTAGAAGCGTAAGAGAGAATGAGGGTCAAAAGTGAATACGTCCAAATGATGTGTAACTTTTGATAACTTCCTTAATCCCTTTATCTCAATTAATAAAATAAATAATAATAATAATTAATCATTTATCAACACGTCCTTCTTTCTCTTTCTCATAAAATAATTAATATAATACATATAGAATTAAACATATTCCTTTCTTTAATCAAATAACATGAACATAATAATAAAATACACTTTATAAAATAACTCCTACTTCACTAATTAAAATAATAATTAAAAATTAAGCTTTATAATAAAATAGAGATCATATAGATAATTAAATAATATCAAAATCCTTTAATAAACACATTTAAAATATTAAAATAATTATATAATATAACATTAATATAATTTTATGAAAATTGAGATGTTACAATACTTTAATGTAATATTTAGTAATATGACATTTTGAGATTAAAAAAACTAAAAAAACCATGCAACTAAGATTTATTAATAGAATAAATACTAATCACTTGTTAAAATATATACATAAATAATTTGTTTTGTATATTAGTTTTTATTTTTTTTTTAATTTTTTTTACATGTCACTTCACTAAATATCAGGTAACTTAAGTGATAAAAAGTTATTAAACAACATCAAAATTTATTATCAAGGAACATTAAATTAACAATAGGACCTATAACAGCCCGATTTTCACAGATTGTACGAAGGCCCAAAGCCTAATAAGGGTGATTTAGTAGCCTAGAACGGGTCGTTCCCAAACTGGAACGGGCCGTTCCAAACTACTAAAATTGCCTACAAATCTTAGTTGAGAACGGGGCGTTCCAAATTACCAAAAAGGCTTGTAACCCTAGTTGGAAATGGGTTGTTCTAGTTTAAGAACGGGTCGTTCCAAACATGGCTGTTATGGGTTAAAATGTAACCCTAGAACGGGTCATTCTGGTTTTAGAACAGGCCGTTCTGGATGTGAAATTTTACACATGACGAAGATTCTAGAACAGGCCATTCCGGATTTGAAACGGGTCGTTCCGACCACTCCTGATACCTATAAATAAAGCGCTCTAGCACTCCCAAAAAACACACTTTTCAGTTCTGACTTCTTTTCCTTCTACATTCTCTGAAGACCAAGGGAAACCTAGAGGAGGAGACCAACTAGATCCTGCTTTAATTTCAGCTACTGCTTATCGAGGTACGGGAAAAAAGGGAGATTTATGTGTAGAGTTACATGAGGGAATGGGTGGAGAAGAGTTCCTGTGAAATTTTTAATAATTTTATAATTGTCTCTGTTTGGAGAATTATTGGTATTATGAGATTCTGTATGTGTTTAAGATTAGGAATATGCCAATAATTTGTAAAAATGATGGTCTGGGAAAGAGAACAAAATCATAGAAAAGTGCAATGACTTAAGTTTTGGAAAAATTGGGGGTTTTACTATTTGAGATAAGATTCTACTAAATTGATGATTCAATTAGGTTTTATATTAATGTTATTGTTATATTATATGGTAAAAATTGATGATCTAGATGAGGATTCATGGTGAATTGCTCGAGGAGTATGTGAACCACTATTTTGTGTGGATTTTGTGTATGTGTTGTGGAATTGAGTTATGGAATGTGAATGTGATTGTGGTTCCTCAAACTTATGATCAGGGGTGGCACGACTTTGGGTAAGTGATGCTATAGAGATGGCGTTACCTTGGCATAGTGTGGGATGTGTGAGGCAATTAATACGTATCACTTATGTCAGGGATGGCACGACCTTGGGCAACAAATGCTACATGGGTAACGTGACCTTGGATAACATATCAGGGGTGAGCATGACCTTGGGCTGCTACAAGGGTGGAGTGACCTTTGGCATAGTGTTAATTGCAAGATTTGTGATGGATTGGTGTGATTATGAAATTGTGAAGTGAAGTTGATGCAAGATTGATAGAATTATGATATGTAGAAATGATTGTAAATATTTCATTATGTACTGAGTTATGATGAGATTACATTGTAGTGTGTTTGTGTGTGCTTTACATATAGATGTTTTCTTTTCTCACCGTACAATTTGTGGATGTTTTAGGTGAGGAAGATTCGGCTTTGAGTGGTATTTGGAATGCCAACAGTTGAGTTTTGGGTGTACTCTGAAATTGTGACATCGGGGGAGAAGATTTCTAGGACATGGATTTTTATATGTATAGTTGGAGTTGTACTTATTATTTTTAAAAATAATTTGTAAACTCTTATGTTTATTTTCCAATTTTATTTTTTAATTATTTTGGATATTGAAGAACAGTTATGGAGATTTTTTGTGAACCCTTTTTACCAACATTGAAAATTTTATTTGTTAGTTTTATTTACCTTATTACTATATATGTGTTGGGGTAGTAAGGGTGTCACAAGACCAAAATTTCATATTTTTAACAATAAAAGGATTAAATATCTTTATTTAAAAATAGAAAGGTCAAAAGTGTAATTTAACTATAATTTTAATTTCTTTGATACATGGAGTCAACCAATACTAACCCTATTTTAATAGTTAATCAAATTTTATAAATTAAACGTAAACGACTATCTTGCACAATAGTATTTTTAGGATTATTCTTTGACGAGAGCATTTTGAGAATTTTTTTTAACTATTCAATTTTTTTATTTATGATATTTTCTTAAAAAAAAATTTAATTTTAAAATAAATTATCAATAATGAAAAATAATATAATTATTTATGTTAAATATAAAATATAATTTATATATTAAAATATAATATATTTATTTAGTTTTACAACTTATATTGGACCAATTTGTGCTATAGTTGGACCTCAAACATCAAGGTATCAAATTTGACTCTTGGATTTGATAAAAAAAAAATAGAGACAGAAAGAGATAGCCTTAATGTAGGCAAGTTTTGGTAGAAACTAGTTTTTGGTAGAAACTAGTTTTTGGTGAGTACATGCTTCTGTAAATAACATAGTACACAAAAAAAATATTTATGTATAAATAATTTATTATAAATTTTAATCATAAAATAAATATTTAGTTTGTTAAATATAAAGATAAATTACTAATTATTATGATAAAGTTAAGCTAAAAAGAAGACAATAGGGTGCATTTAAATAATAAAAAAATATATCTTATTTTCTTTGAAGAATATAATCTTCAACATCAAAAATAAAACTTAAAACTTTAGATATGTACTTTATTAAAAAAAAATAGACTTAACTAAACATTTTCAAAGTTATTTATTGAACATCAAAAATAAATTTATGTTATACAAACAAATAACCGAAATATAAGCTTCAAAATCATTGATTGTTTAACTTAACATGATTATATTAGAAAAAAATTTAAGGTATTTATTTAACTAATATTTTAACTTGTGTAATACATAAATTAAATGTTTATTATATATCAAAATTTATATCAATTAATATTTTAGTATGTTTAATATAAAAGAATATTTATTATATATAATTAAAATTTATAGTAAATTACATATAAAAATAAATATTATATTTGAATATATAAATTATACTTAAATTTTTATAAATAAATATTTTTAAAAATTCTTCCCAAAGACTCTTGATCTTGGCAAAATACTAGCTGACAAACATTGAACCTTGATTGCAAGAAAAGATTACTTTTATCAATTGGAAAACCCGAGGCTCATTTTGTTGCCTATATCAGGAGTTTAAATCTTCCAACAAGATTGCGGCTATGGAGGAGTAAATGACACTCGTAGTAATGTCTTTGTTGACTGAATTGAGAAGCCAAGATCTTACTATGCTATCATTTCTTTTCCACAAAGAAAGTTTAGTTGGATTAGTTGGCTTCGAGATTGAACCATCAACAAATCCCATCTTGTTCTTGGATTCAAGTGCGATAACAACACGTCTCCAAGAATCGAAGTTGTCACTATTCAAAGGTATGGACACGAGGCTTTGACTTGGATGATCAACATGGTGAATGAAAAAAGGATCATGTTGATCAATCTAAATTGGAGAAGCATCAGCCATGGTGATCGCAAGAAAAAAAATTGGAATCAAAGTATTCAAAAGGGGATCAAAAATCTTCTGATACCATATCAAAGCTCATTCAATGGTGAAGGAGAAGAGCAAAGAACAAGGAGAAAGAAAGAAATATGCTGAATGAAATATTATTCATTGATGACAAAAGAAGAAATACAAAGCTATATATATATATATATATATATATATAT